CCCCCCCCCCCCCCCCCCCCGTATCCTGTGGCTTTAAGGGTTTTTTTGTTTGTTTTTTGGCCGAATGTTGGAAATAGGTCACAGGCTCATCATTAGGCTTCTCTGTCTCTGTCATCCACCCACTGTCCTTTCTGTCCAGTCCACTGACCCAGCCAGCCCTCCTCTCACCCAGGTAGACTATGTACGCCTGCTTCTGGTCGCTGCTTTCTCCGTGTGTGGAGTTGTGCCATTGAGGAGACACCAATTACCCCCACCTATTTGCCTTTGCCCGACTTTGTTTTTACTCCGAATCGTTAGAGGGGCGGAGAAAAGGAATCTATATCATTGTTTATTCTTAATATATCACTGGTTCTTTTGATTCAATTTTAATATTGACTCCTTTAAATGTTCTTTTTTCTTTTATTCTTTTTTTATTATAACATGTTTTTCTTTGACCAGTGTCTCAATGATGATACAAGGGAGCACAGAATTCAGTGTGGGTGGTTCCCTAGTCGGGCCTCTTCCTCTTGTCCGAATGCAGCTGTAGAAATATATCAGATGTTCCTAAATTGCATTGGTGTCCACATTTTTATTTTTTTTTTTATAACGTGTCATTTTGCTAAGGTCTGTCTGCACACCCGCTAATGTTGCCAAACCTTTGTAGGAATTTAAACAGGCCCGATATCTCTCTCTGAACGCATTTGTTCTCCTTGACCTATCAGATTTTTTTCGCTATATAAACGCACGCTAAAACATTTGTATCGCCTTTAACCAATATGAAGTCATGCTAAGTAAATGCTTTGTAATTAGCGGCATATTAATTCCAAGGGGCTGCTTTAATATATGTGACAGTGTTAAGTAGGATTAGGCCGATCTGCGAGGACCAAAGCTACCAGGTCAGGCAAGGAAATGAGAGTGAAGGCTAAACTTTATAGCCAGAGGCTCCCAGATGCTCAGAAAGCATGGTGAACCTTTGGTCACATGAGATGAACAAATCCAGGCTGCTCTTAAAGGCACCACCACAATCAGATAAAAGTTTAAAGTGGAGAACTAGTTTACAGGATCAGTCTACGGGGTCATATAACTGGGAACTCAAAGCCCTGTTTTTGCAAGGAGGGAGACGGGTTGTATGGCGTGCCTGGCACATGTAGATAACCCTTACTTTAAGAAATTTGTTCATATTTTATGTACCATATATTCCATCTGCGTTTTCTTTGCATTGATGCAATCAGAAGTAATACCACAGCATTATCCACTCAGTCCAGTATCTAGTGGATAGTGATTGCCTCCTTCATCTCACATATTGGACATATCATCAGGGCCTTTTGGTGGGTGGTGAAGCATAGCTAATGCATGTTTCTTTGTTGGGTTCGGATGAAAGATGCCAGGCATGCCTACAGTAAGAGTCATTTGCATTTGGCTCTCATTGCCTGGCTACAGATTAGCTGAAAAGGAGGGTGTGCCCTGACTATTTACCACCGCTGTGAGAACAGCAAGGGAAACAATTATGAAACTAAATCTGAATGGTGAGAATGGGGGAGGAATTTACATGGAAAATACATTCAAAATGCATAGCATTATACCATATCATACAAATTGTCTCTTTTGTCCTTGAGCGCAGCAGCAGAGCCTTTTGTTTACTGAAGATTTGTGCATGTTGACAAAGTATTGGAGGATTTGGATGTAAAGCCATGACAGTTTGGTGAAAATTGCATTGTTTGTTTGAACATTAGTGATGATGGTGAATGCTCATGGCCACGTACACTCTTCATAGCCTCAGTGTTGAGGACACTTGATCCATTTTAATACAGTTTGTGATTCTGCTTTAACCTTAACCTAGCAGAGCTGCTCCTGTGAAAGTATGTGGCAGCAGCACTTCACGTCATTCAAGTCAAAAGCCTCTGTGGGAGCTCAAAGACACGATGTTGCACTCCCAGACCTCTGCAGGTTGTTTAGAGTATACAGGTATCACGGCTCTCTGCTTTGCCTCTCAAATGATCTGCAGCTCTTCCTCTTCCCTCCGTGAGCAACAGCATCACATGACAATGACCTCATTTTCACGTGTCTGATGAAAATGAAGCCTGGCCAGTAGAGGTCTTTCCCTTCTGCAGCATGATCCGTCCACTGAGAATGGCCAGGCCAGGTGGCGATTGTATCACTGAGCGTCCTACCTGTTATGAAACGCAGCACACAGACAGTGGTGCTCTTCTGTCCTTTCCAGCCCCCGCCAGCTTGTCTAGTCATTTGCCCTTTTCATTTTCATTCCCCAGGCTCTTTATGGGATTTTTTTTTTCATTGGATCATGATTCTCAAGGTTATTGTGCAGTTCAGATTTTTTTTTTTTTTTTTGCTAGAGGTGTACATGTGTGTAAGCGTTCCCATCTGTGTGCCTCTGAAGTGGTTGAGCCCAAGTGAGAGTTCTTGTCTGGCTGAGCTTGGGGCAATTTAATTTCCTCTCCTCCGTGGTCTCATCTCGCATATTGCTGTTATTACTGCTGATGTTCTGATCCCCAGTGAAGTTAGAAGGATAGGTTTCCCTCCCCTGAGAGTGCGGAGGAATTTTAACTGCATTACCTGTTTACGGGGCTAATATGTACAAGATGAACACGGCGCCCGTTGCGAGCACGCCTGCCTTGCAGCTCCAAGAAGGAGTCTTCCACTTGGAAATGGAGTGGAATGGCAACTCGCTGAAGATGCATTACAACCTCACTGACACTGTTTCCCTTTTGTTTTGCTCCTCTCGTGCTTCCTTTGAGTGCTCTGCCTCCACTGATGGGTTCATTATTCTTCCTCTCCTCCTGCATGTTTAGTCTTTTTCCTCTCTCCTCCTCTCTACCCAGGGGTATTGCTGTGCCTGGTGTTGATCGTGGCACAGAAAAGCCTGTTGATGACTGTCTCCATGGAAATGTGGAAAGATATGCCAGTGTCTATGAAAGAGAATGAGAACTCTTTTCATTGTTGTTTGCTTTTCTTATACCCTTCCTTGTTCATTCCTTTGTCTTTTTGTTTTTTCCCTCCTCCATCACCCCAGCTTCTAGCTATGAGCTTCCTTGTTGGCTCCACCTGGTCTTTATTTCTAGGCATTTCCTTGCTGCTTTTGTGACCCAGACTGTCTGTGTGTGTGTGTGTGGTGTGTGTGTGTGTGTGTGTGTGTGTGTGTGGAGGCGGTGGGACAGAATTGGGGGCTACTGCTCTTTGTTGACACAGCAGGTGTTGATTTGGCTTCACAGTGGTCGCTTTGTTGTTTCATCTTAATTCTTCTTAAGCACAGAAAGAGCAGAACAGCACAGGCAGCCAGACTGAAGGGCATTGCAGAGATAAAAGAGAGGGTGCTTTCTCTCTTCCATATATTTTGATTGGTTCAGTGAGCACAGCCTTTACTTTCAGAAAGCACACAACTGTCATTTCAAGGCCTTTGTTTTATTTGTTTTCCGAATGGACTTTCATTTTCATAAATATCATTCTAAGTAGGTTTAAGTTCTTAACTCAGACTCTTGTTTTCCTGCACTGCACATCCAGGTGATCCTGTACTCTGGTGACAGGGCCTACGAGGACTACTATGAACCCATGAAGGGTAGAGTCCACTTCAACTCAGCCGACCCCAAGAACGGCGATGCCTCCATCAACCTGACAGGGCTGAAGTCGTCGGACTCTGGCACCTACCAGTGCAAGGTGAAGAAGGCTCCTGGGATCCGCAGCAGGAAGCTGCTGCTGATTGTCATGGGTAAGTGAGTTTTTTTTGTTTGTCTTCTCACTGGGTAAATTATCCCTCTCTCATGAATGCACCAAATCAGACACCCTTTTCCCTCCTTGGCTGTTTTGACGTAATCCCTTCTCAAATCGGGTGCATAACCTTCCTGGAGGCTGTAGAGCATTGCCGCCTTTGTGATTCTCTGTTCACCCTAGATGCTCTGTGATTATGTCTAAAATGATAATCCTGATTTTATTTATTTATTAGTAAGTATATTAACAATATACTTATTGAATATCAACAGGGAACATTATAATATATAATGATTACACATCATTTTGTAATCTTAATTAAAATATTGGTTACTACAGGCATAGGTAATTAAACAAATAATCCATGAGTATTCCAAATCATTTTCAAAGTGTACAATGTTATCCTGTCTTTTAAAATATGTGGACAAACCTCCGAAATTGAATGTAGCACTCAGCTGGCTTTTTATTGTAAAGGGTGAGATGGGTGACACATCAGAGTTGTATAAGTCAGATGATTCACTCCCTAGGCAAACACACACACACACACAGCACACAGCACACGACACACACACACCCAAACCCCCCCCACACACACAAACACACACACACACACACACACACACACACAGTGGCCTTGCTGATCGGTCAACTGACTAAATGACTGACTGACTAAATGATGTCGAAAGTGAATCGCCTTCCGAAACCGCCTGATATTTGCATATGGGAAAAACAACCGGCATGTGCTGCATTAGTGTGTGTTGTGGGATAAGCTGTGCGTTGTGCTATTATCGCAGCCCTGTTATCAGAATAGTTTCTCCTTTCTAAAGATAGGACAGGCTTCATAAAATGGCGGCTGTTGATGATATTATGTGTACAGAAGTGACGGCACTGCACCAACTAGCTCATCCAGAAACACATGAGCTATTAGAAAATGAACCAGTTCCACTGTCGTGTTGTGGAGCCACCTTAGCATTTCTGTAATAAAGGAGATGAATGGCTACAGATAATCTGATCATTAACTGTGACTACAGCTGACCTGAAGAACCATTGATAAAGCCCTTGGGAAGGCTATTTTACATTTAATTGATCTGACCAGAAGCAACATGAAAAAGTGAATCACTGCTGATACTAATGCTTGTACACTGGCTGCGGTGGCTTCTCCTTCCTGCAACAGTTCCACATTCCTCACCAGTGAGGGAGGTTAGCAAGCCTGCTCATCTGTCACTAGTTTTAATGCTTTTATATTTTTAAATGATGGTCAGTGTTCATTAACCAACACTGTATCAAACAGAAAGTAACAGTATAGGTTGAGGTTGTATGTTAATTATCATTTTTAAGTGAACGTTCTCATTTAAGAATGTCACCAACGTTTGCCAGAATAAACAGCAGGGGTGTCCCTACCATTACTATATTGCCTGTTTAGGAATGAGTGATTCTATTGTTGTTTGTATGGTTTTATTTATCAAGGATATTTTTAATTTTTAATTTTTCAAACCCTGATTCCAATATCTGTATATTCTTAAAAATTAAAAGTTCATTACTCTGTAAAAGGCTGTATATCATTCTATCAATGGCATATAATTGTCGATTATCACAGTTATTATCTGGGATAATATATCATCCAACAAAAGCAGTTATTGTTATTATTAGTTATTATTATATATGATCTTTCTTCGTATGTTGTAGTATCTTCTGTCAAGATGTTGGTTCTAGTTGTTCTCGTACTCCTTATTTTGATTGTCGTTTTGATCAACTGATTTTATTTGTTGATCCTGCTGTGGATAAGAAAATCATCTTAGCGACTAAAATGTAAATCCAACTTTCATTGTGGATAAAAAGTGTATTTAGTGTGCGTGTGCGTGTGCGTGTGCGCGTTTGTGTGTGTGCGTGTGTGTGTGTGTGCATTTGAGAGGGGGATAGCTTGGGGCTACAGAAGCTGACAGGCTGCTAGATATTGACCCCAGGGGCAGGGGTGTTCTTAACAAAGAATCACTGACAAGGAGAGGCGAGGACATCTTGCCTGCTCTGCATTTTACCTTCAGGTTGATCTTGTCACAAGGTGGACGGTCCCATGAACAGCAGAGACGTGCATGCACATGTGTGCACGAACATAAACACACTTGAATCTATGCACTGGGCGTTGCTGTGGCTTGTCACAAACACTGCCACTTGCAGGTATACAGGCATGCTGACACCTGCAGTGTACATGATGTCCAGGTAGTGTACAGGAGGGAGCGTCCCCTCGTTGTGTATTCTCCTCTGGTTGCAGCAGGACATTGAAGTTAACAGGAGGAGAGTAGCCACCTGCAGTTCACCACTGCATGTCAGCAACTCTCACAACTGTTTCCGACTAGACCCCACCTGTCTCAACAGCCAATCATTTAGCTCTGCCTGCCTCAAGTCCAGACAATCCTCATGGTATCCCGGATCTCACTGCAGAGCTCAGCAGCCAATCTCTTTAATTCTGTCTGTCTGGCTTTAGTGCCCCCTAGTCGCTTATATTTCACTTTACCATTCAACAATCTGTCGTCACTCTTTGGAGTTGTGCACAATCTAGCAATCCTTTTGTACTTATCTCATCCACAAGATAGCCTTGTGCAACTCATAAATCTCTATTCATTGTTCGTTTAACAGAGCCAGGTTGGCTGTATCGCTCTGCCCTTTATCTCTCCGTGCTCCTCCAGCCTCTGTCACCTTCTTCTTTGACCTCATCTTTCAAACAAATAAATCTGCTCATCGGACAGCAGTCCTAATATGAGGAGCTGTGTGTTACAGCCCTCGGACGCGTCGAGTTGACTTTCACCTTTAAAAGATGCATTCAAAATGTCATAGCTCTCTGACATTTACTAGGTGTCGTGTGAATGTGTGTGTAGGTGCAGCACCACAGCAGCAAAGAGCCAGCCATTGAGTGAGGAGCTGTACAGCCTTGGCCCCCATCACTCCACCATCTGTCCATCAGCGCTTGCTTAATTTTTGCTCTCCCACTCTCTGTTTTACCCGCTCCGCCCTGACCCCATGTGTGTTTATTAGATTAGTAGGAGCACGCAGTACTGTCGGTCTACTGTTAATCCTTACGGTTATGCCTGCTAAGCTCCCCCCTCCCGCCTGACACCTGGTTCAGATGTGGAGAGCCCCACTCCATGGTTTTGTTGTTACAGAACCCATTATTACCACACCATGATGTCAGCTTTCTGTCAGTGAACTCAGAGCACAGGCTTGGACTGTGGCCCCCCGCCCCTTTCTACTTGGCTGACTGTGTGTCTGGGTTTCACTGGAGTTGGTCTGCTTTTAATTTAGAGCTCTGTTTGTTTTTGAATCCCCCATCTCATCTCCTGCCAGCGCTCGCTCTGACTGACCGAGGAGTGTTTGCAAACGTTCGGCTTTAAGATGGAAAGCTTTGCCTCCATCATTAACCCTGAACGCTCTGTACATGTGTGTTTGTGTGTCCAATGGCACACATCTCCCTTCTTCCTGGCGATTACCCTGAGTGACAGCTCCTGTAATGACAGCAGCTGTATCAATTACTCTGATTACTGCTCTCATTATGCTGATGACTGCTGCTTTGAGCAAGGGAGGAAATCAACTTCAGGAACACACAATACACACACAAAACCTGCCCATGAAAGATTGAAAAATAACAGGGTGGCAGGCAGGAGGACTGTTTTTCTGAGCTAATGCGGCCACCTGGTTGTGTCTATTTCTCACCTCTCTTAATCACTTTCCTCCTTTCCTTTTCTCTCCACAGTGAAGCCATCAAAGCCCAGGTGCTACACGGAAGGCCCTGCACAGGAAGGCAAAGACGTTATGCTGAGGTGCATATCTAGCGAGGGCACCAACCCCCTGAAATACACCTGGGAGAAGACCAGTGACAACAAGCTCCTGCCCGCCTCCGCTGTGTTGGGTAATGGACCCTTTCACCAGCACTCCCAAACAAATAATAGAATAGTTTTCAAGTCCCACACTCATGTCCTCTTTCTGTTTAATGCTGTCATCTCTTCATTGATGTGTTCTTTGCCCTCACTTCAGATCCTGTGGGAGGTTCCATTAACGTGAGGAACGCATCTGCCAGTGCATCTGGCACCTACCGCTGCACTGCCAGCAACCGTGTTGGCACTGAGGAATGTACACTGTATCTCAATGTGACACCTCGTGAGTATCCAACTAACTTACTGTTGATGCACTAACCTATGTACCCCTACCGTTTGTACCTTCAAGAGTACAGGTATGTATCCAGCTGACCGAGAAATATACATTAACAATGGTATAATCATGATGTAATATTGACAGCTTTGTGAAGCAGTATTTTGAGATAAATGCTGACATCAGCTTGCTGACATGCTCACACTAGCAATGCTAACATGCTGATGTTGAGTAGGTATAAAGATCTCCAAAGTGATTACAATTCATCAACTAGTTTGACTGAAATTCAGAATCCCCTTCGCTGCATGAAACAACAACAACCTTCAAACTAGCAACCTACACGCTCAACATAGCAAGTTACCCTAACCTGGTCACTAACAGTACAAACACATTTAATTGCTAGGTCTCGCCTCCCCTAATGCAAATGTTCCACCAAAACAGCTGGACTTTAGCAAGCACCATCTTGTTAGTGTGCTTATAAACTGTGGTGCTGCAGAATGTGTCAGAGATACTCATTCTTCAATAACAACTTTTTGGAAACTTTTTTCCATATGATTAGCTAAGAAGTGCTAGATGCTAAAATGCGGTTTCTCGATTGTTACGAGGCATGGACACCCAAAGCCACAGTCAAAGCGCCACTATACTTTACAAAATAATCCAGCACTGTATTTTGAGGTCTCCGTTGGACGCAGAATGTCACGTCATGAAAGTCACGTTGAAGTCATTGCTACCCAAATTACATTTACGAAACCATCCAACCCTTTTTCTTCCTTGTGTTTTTCAGCTCCCAACACTGCCGGCATCGTTGCAGCAGCCATAATCACCGTTCTCCTGATCCTCATCATTATTGCCATCATCCTCTTCTGCTGCTGCCGTGCCCGACACAGGAAGAAGTACGAGAAGGAAATCTGCAATGAGATTAGGTACAGTCACAAAAACATCAATGAGATGGAGCTTACAGATACCCAAAGCTCCTGTTTGATAGAAAAATATTGTAATACTGTTCACTCTTTGCTATATAGTGAGAAATGTGTCTCAGTTTGTATAATATTGAATCAAGCGGCAAGAATGCTATAGGGTACATGTGATCACTCTCAGCTCTCCATGTAATATGACCTGTGGTCATCTCAGATACACACACATGCACACACAACGTGTCTCCAACAACCATGAAAATGTTTTTTCTCCATCAGCGTTTTTCTTTTTTTACCCTTCCTCAAATAAACAGCTGTGGTAATCAGTTTGAAAGCTTTGTTTGCTCTGTGGATTCTGTGTCATGTCTGCTGCTGGCTGTCCCCCCACCCCCCTCCAGAGCACCCTACCCTAACCCCCCCTCACCATCCAACTATCCATCCGGCCCGCGGGCTCTGTACAACCCCTGGGCTTACTATCACTCTGCTGCGGACTGAATCTGTCCTACAGCGTGAGCAGTGTCACATTGTGGTCTTAGACAAAGAGGATTAGACCACTGGTCCTGTCTCGTATACACAGACACACATTCACTGAAACACCACAACATGAAGCTGTGGACTAAACAAGCTCTGGCCCCTCAGGCTCAGTTTGATTGAGCATTTAACTGGATTATTGCTGCTTATTAGTTGTTAATGTGGTGGCAGAGGGAGTAGAGGACATAGCTGTATTTGGTTGCTCAGCTCAATCTCTACAGGCTATTACAGTCTGTGTGGCTGAGCAGTGCAGACACTGCCCTAACCAATCAAACGGGCCAGCTCCAATTATTTGTCCCTCTTTATTGAGTCCAATCATGTTTCGCTCTTGAAATGACTCATGCAGACTCCTTAAGTATTCATTGTTTTCCTCACTGTGGGGAGCAAGTGCCAGACACTTCACACTTTTAAACCTGTGTGTCATCAAACTTTATTTTGGTTTATAGCACCTGAGAAATTCATTTTCCATGTTCAATTTCTCTGTCTTGACATTCAGGTAATTTAATAAAAGTGAGTTTACAGTTTTTTCTTATTGTCTAAATGTGCTGCTGTATCTGTTTACTCTCAGAGAGGACGTGCCCCCTCCTAAGAGTCGCGTTTCAACGGCGCGCAGCTTCACCGTGGGCAGCCAGCGTTCGTCCCTGGGCTCCATGTCGCCTTCCAACCTGCACGAGTACGCCCTGAAGCCCCAGTACGACAAGATTCCCTCATCAGAGGACTTTGAGAGACCTCCGAGCCATGCCCCTCTGCCCCCACCCAATGCTGTCAAGATGGCTGGCCCCAACCTCAGCCGCATGGGGGGCATCCCCGTCATGATCCCTGCCCAGAACAGGGACGGCTCAATCGTCTAGCCTGTCCTCTACTCGAGAGGAGATCATGCAACAAGGGGAGGGAACGGAGGAAGGGAGTAGGACACAAGCCAATGAAGATGAAGATGGAGGAAGAGCTGGGATAGGCTGACTCGCCTGACTTTTAGCTCCTCATTATTTACAAATGGGAGTATACTCCTCTTACGAAGACCTGGCTCTGCTGTGGTGCTGAGAAGAGAAATTGAGTTGTACTGGAATCACAACAGAGCACATTACATTTTTATCAAATACAAATACAAAAAAAAAAACTTTTATGAATTTTACTTCCTGGACTTTCTCAATGAAAAATGGATATAAAGCAGAATGGTCAATATACAAATTATATTGTACATAAGTGAATGCATGTTCTTTTTTTTAAATATAGATGGCCCTCACTGTTTGTTCAAAACAGATCCAGGCCCCTAATTGGCCAGCTGTATGCATGCATGTATGTATAGAATTGCGGCTGTATGTCTGCGTGAATATAAGTGTATGTATGTGAAAGGGAGTTTGGGAACTGTATAGTTCATTTATCATCTTTTAATGCCTACGTAACACTATGATCATTTCAGGCAGTCCACTACTAGTTTCTGAAACATTTTAAATTCCACAATTTTCTTGTAAAAGGAGATGTTCTGAAAGACAGACTCATTAGAAGAAACTTCACAGATTTTATCCTTCCACTGAGTTGAAAAATTGTCTATTTAGGTCAGCCGTTTTCTGTTGAACCGTTTTTCACATTTTGAATTGTCCAGTCGGGGTTTGGGTGGGGGGCTGAAGTGGTCAGGATTGGCTGTTGGTGAGAGGGAGGTTCAGGCCCTCACATCTTGTGATTGGGTGGATTATTGCTTCTTGACCGAGCTTAAAAAACAATAAAAGACTCCCACCCCTCCTCCAGAGATCTTTTAGGAGGTAGTGTATAGGAAAATAAGGGGGCAGCTGGACAGCAAGGTTCACTGAGCAATCGGCTTTGATTGTGTTTGACTGTCAACAGGCCCCTAACCCCCCGTGAACACCAGAACATGTCGGTCTCCCCAAATACACACACACACACAGCATTAGCAGGACAAGAGCATAGAGTCTTAATCATCATCTGTAGTATCAGCCACCCCCCTCAGATGTCCGGTGTGTGTAATCCTCCTTATTTGCATTAGAAGGAGCCAATATCTTGACCTTCTCTCTGTGGTCAATATCAGACTGTGCATTGCTTCTGTAGTGTTAATTGGACTTTTTAATGAAGGATGTAAAGCCTGTGTACATGAAGAAAGTGCCCACAAAGAGGAACAAAAGTGAAACGCCTTAGAATTCTGAATTGTACTGCTCTGAATCCACTTTAAAACCTCTCAATTCAGGATAACATAAATGTTTATTCAGTCAGTGTAAGTTGCAATAGACCAGTCCTTGCAGTTTGTAGGTTATTCTACTCTGAAATCATGTCCATTCTTCCATTGTTTGCAAAAGATTTTGGAAGCCCAACATCTCATCTGGTTTGTTACTTTAGAAAAAAACAGTAAGAATACTAGCAGTGGGCGAACTCTTTTTGCTCCGACGCCTTATTCTATTCCTTATTTTAGCCTTACACACCTTCCCTCAGTTCACCCCTGCACAGCCCTCACAGCTGGATACTGAAAACTTCTATTGTGCCTTTTTGCCCCAGTTGAGTTGTGTCATAGCACAGCCAGCAATGTGTGCTGTGCTATGTGCAGTAGCATCCTCCTGAGTGGCCATCATAGCCACAGCCACTAGAACAATATAATAATCAGCACACAGTGAGCCTATTGATTGTTTTCTGTTGCCTCGATCAAGTCTAGGATTTCCCACACACCCACTCACCCCATAGAAATTCCCCCATAGCTTAACAAAACCTTTATCACTGTCTTAAAGCTTTGATTTTGTATTCCAAAACATGACTTCATGGTTTTTTGTTTTTTTTGGGGTTTTTTTAAGCTTTATTTAAAAGTACATAAATCAATGTGATTTTTTTTTTTTTTAAACAACATAAGTGGTTCTGGCTGTATGTATAAATATCCTGTCGAAGTAACCCTATCTAATCACAACACAGTCGAATGATATAAAGATGATGTTTCTATGTATATGTGATTCTCTGCCGTGCTGTGCTTGGCAAATCTATATCTAAGGCATAAGTGGAGGGGCAGCGTGGGTCTCGTCAGTATATTTTAATTACTCCCCTAGTATAATTGGAAAATGTCTGGCTGTGTGTGTGTGTGTGTGTGTGTGTGTACTGTAAGTTTTTGTGTGTGAACTCCAGGATCTAAGGGGAGGTGACAGTAGAAGCATCTTGGCCCGTGTACTTCCTGGCAGATTTGATGTCACACCTTTTTTCTAACACCAAGGAAAGTAAGACCTGGGCATGCCTAGTCAAAGAAATGATATCTGTCAGTTCCTCTTAAACACTACTGTGTGTGTCTGTGTGAGCATGTGTATTGTACATGAAGGGAGTTTGCTGTCAGGATGGGCCCCTGTAGAATTCTAGTTAGACTTTCACCTGCTGACAAACTGTACAGAGCTGTTAGGGGGGTAGTGCTGTTACTGCCCCTCTATGTGCTCAGAACATTAATGACGAATACTAACAATATTAACTGTAGCTTTGAAATCGGCGTACTAATATTGTATGAAGATCTCCTTTGAGGTTTGCACTCTGTGTGAAAACCAGTTTTTTCTTTTGTGTGTATTTTTTGTGCTGTATTTTTGAATAATAAAAGTCCATGAAATTTTAAAAAAAATATAGCCAGCCACGTTTGTTTATTTGTTTGTTTACAGAAGCATTAGCAGCTGTTGACTTGAGCATGAATAAAACTCAATTTCTCTCTAGTGGCGCGTGCTCTCCAGGGACTCTGCTTCCTGCAGCTTTTTGACTGAGATTAATTTTAATCAGCCAGTAAATTCCACCCCTAACACCAGGTGAGGTGACTTTCTAACCACTTAATGACTGCAATTAATCAATGAAGCGGGCAGACACAATGGCCGCCTGCCGTCTCCAATGCTCGCCTTTCAGCTCCAGTATAAACAAGCAAGGGTTTGTGACCTGACTCGCCCACCACCATCCAAACTCATCCTGTGGGCCTAATGTTGACTCGCTGTCATCCCCCTGCTGCACTGTACTGTGTACTGTACTGTACTGTCCATTGCAGCCTGGCCACTTGTTTCATGTGCTGAGCTTTTTTTTTTTTCAATTACACCCAATTTCCCCTCTTAGTTAATGTGGTGGGTAATTACTTTCATTGCAAGCCAGCACTAATCAAAGTTGTACAAAATTAGCTTTCTAATTAAGTATGCTGAATGATGTCAAATGCCCAGTTAATGACTCAGGGACATATGCATATGCCGGTGTTGTGTCTTTCTATTCTGACCGCTGCCCTCCTCATACTCCACATAACAATATGCTGGTGATTTTGACACTGGGATAGGTCGATAACTGATTATTAGCCAATAGCTCCACTGTGTGCAGGCTGTTGACAGGTGGTCAATAAAAAAGACTAAAGCACTTAGTAGCAGTGCTAAACTGACGTCCATTGCTATAATTGGATGTCAGTAATAGATAGGGCCCGGGAGCATTGATCTGTGGCTAGTCGGAGTCACTCATGGATCGTAATGGCTCCCTAGCAGCTCTGCACATCGTTGTTCTTGTATGTGCTGGGTTTGTTCAGCTGCACTGATACCTGCACAATCACAGCTATCTTACAAATGGATGTGGTTGGATATAATGGCCCTTTTATGGCTGTGCATTCAAAACATTCATTAAAAGGACATTAGTGATATGTGCTACTGCACGTGTGCAGATTAGATTTATGGACTAAACGCTGTTCTCTCATTGAATTAATGTACAATGAATCATACATCATCCCTCACTGTCTTGCAGCCCAATATCCATTTGTGACATTTTTTTCCATCATGTCCTCATTCACATAGCTAAAGGGAGAGAGTGGTGCTGTACTAAGCACCTGGGGATTTGTGCCTGCCTCCCCCTCCCACCCTTCTGCCTGGGTAAGGTATTAATTGTTTGCACAGATCAAGGAGGCTGGTATGGCAAAAAAAAACCTCATTGGTTCTCCAGGAGGGTTTCCTTGGCAACCTTATCTAGTTGTACACAGTCTAAGCCGGCTGCTAGCGGGATGATTTATCTTGTAAAGTGTGATTCGCTCCCTGCTAACAAAAGAGGCCTCTAAAAGCACGGGTCTCCTCCACTGTGACGTCTGCTGTCACACACTAAGCTTTCTGCCGTTTTTAGAAACCTCAGGTTGGGAGAGGGTTGCAGGGGAATTCTGGGTAGGATAGAGGAATATGCATATGCATGAAGAGTGAGAGCTCCATCAGCTCCACTGGAACAGCAGTACATTAACATTTTGGCTCGGCGCTCTTAGCACTTTGGAAGTAAAATGACACAGATTATGATGTGAATGTAAGCTTTTACAGCCCCATCACATGAATGACTGAGGAGCTTCAGCCATTTTTGGAGATGTTCCCTCTCTTTTTTTGGTTGCAGTAGTATTTAAATGGACACAGATTATGTTGAAGTGTAGAATCAGGATACAGAAATGGGTTAAAAAAAAAGGAGCCTGAAGTCCTACGTATGGGTGTTAAATTCTCTTCTGTTTTCAATTCAGCATCCTTTAATACTTTAATGATCGTAATATTAATATCGCACATGTGGGAGGTAAGTAACAGTAGTTATTTTAATAACGCAACCAGTCCATCTGAGACTCCTGTTAAATTAAAGCTGACAGTCTGAACTTTAAATGCACAGTCATTGTGCCATGTCAAATGAAAAGGAATCTGAAAAGGAGGCAAAACATCAATGTGTCACCGTGCAAACACTCACTGCACTCAACCGTATGTCGCCTTGAACAACCTGCATGTTGTGGCTAGAGACGGCGGAGCATATTCTGTGGAGAGGGAGTTGAGTCCAAACCTGAGCCAATCATCCCACTCTGTCTGCTACGCCTGTAGACAGCCCAGATTTCTCATGAGGCTTACCCAGCTGCTGTGCACTCATTTGTCAGTCTTCCTCGTCTCCCAGTCTGGGAGGAGGGCCCTGGTACACCTCCAACAGCCCTCCCCTCTTCCCTTTGGTCGATATGGAGTCATCTGTTAAGGACCAACCCCTTCGCCCGTTGCATCTCAGCATCCTGTTGGGTCACTATTTCAACCCCATGCCGCTCGCATTTCGATGACTAATATGTGACTTTTGATGGATGACCTTCCTCTGTGCTCTAGGGAGACATGGGGAGCAGCGGTG